AGTTTAGTCATTTTTTAACTCATAGCAACCTGATACAGAGTTTTCAAGGAGTAGCTGGTAGGTTTGAACTGTTGACTTTGTGGTTCACAGTCCAGAGCTGATCCTATAGCAGTACACCAGGAGCATTTTATTTCAATATAGATATGAAAATGTTCTTTTAATGATGAATGTGATGCCATTCCTCATTAATTTTTCACTCCTCACATAATAAACTATGTTGTTTTTGTTTTTGTTAAGTGCCTTCCAATCAATTCCTACTCATAGAGACCCTGTATAGTGTTTCCCGATGGGCAACTGGTGAGTTTGAACTGCCAATCTTATGGTTCAAACCATCCTTGTGGTCCACTGTGTGTTCGACAGTGCCACACCAGGACTCCATGTTAAACTATAAGGTTGTCTAATTCAAAATGGTCAGTACCAGTCCATCTCAGCTCACTAATTCCTAGCATATCTGTCTTTATGTGTCCCATTTCAGTTTCACAACTTCCACTTTTCCTAGGTTCATGCTTCAAATGTTCCATGATCTAATTAATAATAAATGTTCGCAGCTGTTTGGTCTTATTTTCAGACACGCCCTATCAGCAAATAAAGGTCCCTAAAGATTTGCTTTTGGTCAACTGGAGTTTGAAGACACAGCTCTTTTTCAGTTTTATTTTCAATGTCTTCCAACACTATATGTGATAATGTTCAGCTGTTGTACAGTTTTCATCTCTGGCACGATATCTGACAATGTTTTACTAATCATACATTTTTTGTTATTGTTGTCATTAAATGTCATCAAGTTGATTCTGACTTATAGCAAACCTGTATAGGGTATCAATGAGTGCCTGGTTAGTTTGAGCTACAAGCTTTATGATTCACAATGACCTTGAAGTCCAGTGTTTTATTGCACAGCCCATACATTTTATTTGTTGTTGTTGTGAAGTGTCATTGAGTTGATTCTGACCCATAGCAACCCTGTATCAGGTTTCAGAGGAGCAGCTTGTGAGCTTGAACCACTGACCTTGCAGTTCAAACGACTTTGCAGTCTGGAGTATTAACCCACAAAGCCATTTATAGTGGCTATCATTTCACCCCCAACGAGATGGATTAGCCAAGTGGCAGTGTCGAAGGACTCAAGTATGGCAACAGTAGTGAGGTTGGCCCAGAATTCGGGCAGTGTTTCATTCTGCTGTGCATAAGGTTGCTGAGTCGGTACCGAATCTATGGCACCTAACAACAACAACATCATTTCAGTAGTGGTCTGCCTCTCCTAGGTATGTCTTAGTTTGGAGTCTCCACTGAAACCTGCCGATCCTGCTTTTGGTGGCATAGATTCCAGCATCACAGTAGCAGCAATCAACCATAGTAGTACAAATTGACAAAGAAGTGGTGCTTTCGACTCATAGAAACCCTATGCATATGGTTTCTGAGACAATAAAATTCACAGAAGCAGACAGTCTCATTTCTTCTCCAGTGAAAAGGTTAGGGAGTTTGAGCCACTTACATTGCCATCTGCAGTCCAATCCTACCCTAGAACACCACGAGACACTTCTTTTATGGATTTTTCATCTTAAAATCTCCATACCATTCTAATACTTTTCAGACCAGGGTCTCAAAAGTAGGTGTGTATGAAAACAAGAAGTTCTGAGTAGTCCAGTGGTTGGTTTAGCTAACTGAAAAGTAAGGCTGAAATTACAGCGGCACTGGGAGCTGGAGTGTGAACACTTACCAATTTACTGCCTTTACTGTTGAATTTCTTTTTATTTATTTATTTATTTATTGAATTTCTTTAATAATAGCAAAACATCATGCAGAGTGCATATCCACTTGTTTCCTTCTCATCATCCTTATTTTTCTCCCCTAAAAGCTATCGCAGGCACATGAAGCCAAAGAATTCGACAGGCATCCCAGAATTCCTCCTTCTGGGCCTTTCTGAGGATCCAGAACTGCAGCCCCTACTCTTTGGCTTGTTCCTGTCAACATACCTGATCACAGTGTGTGGGAACCTGTTCATCATCCTGGCTGTCAGCTCTGACCCCCACCTCCATATCCCCATGTACTTCTTCCTCTCCAACCTGTCCTTAGCTGACATTGGGTTCGTCTCCACCACAGTCCCAAAGATGCTGGTGAACATCCAGACACAGAGCAAATCTATCACTTATGAGGAATGTCTGACACAAGGGTACTTTTATTCTCTCTTTGCATGTCTGGACAGTATGTTCCTTACTGTGATGGCTTATGATAGGTTTGTGGCCATCTGTCACCCACTTCACTACACAGTTATCATTGGCCCCAGACTCTGTGGTTTGTTAGTTTTTGTATCTTTTCTTATCAGCCTTCTGGACTCTCAGGTGCACATTTCAATGGTGTCACAACTGACATTCTGCACAGATGTGGAAGTCCCTGGCTTCTTCTGTGACCCTCTTCAACTCTTTTACCTTGCTTGTTCTAACACCGCCATCATTAACATATTAGTTTATTGTACTGGTGCCATCTTTGCTGGTATTCCAGTCTTTGGGATCATTTTCTCTTATGTTCGAATTATTTCCTCCATTCTGAGAATCTCTTCTTCAGGTGGGAGATATAAGGCCTTTTCTACCTGTGGCTCTCACCTCTCAGTTGTATGTTTATTTTATGGAACATCAATTGGAGTGTACCTCAGTTCGGCTGTCTTATCTTCTGCCAAGAAGGTTGCAGTGGCATCAGTGGTATACACTCTGGTTACCCCAATGCTGAACCCTTACATCTACAGCCTGAGGAACAAGGACATTAAAAGAGCCCTGAAGAGGCTCCTCCGCAGAGCAGCCTAATCTTAACACTGATGTGATATTTACTGGTATATGGCTTGAATAAGATGGCAAAACTATCATCTGTAAACTCAAATTTTGCCTTATTGGTCTCATAATTTTGTAGCTCTCTTGGATTTTAATATTGAGATTCCATACTTGAGCATTGTTTCCTTTGTCACATATTTAATGTGATACTGTGAGTATTCTGTGATCTGTCTATTATAGCTATGTAGCCATCAGTGGCTTCTCATGTATGACCAGGTTTCCTAAAAAAAAAAAAAGCACAGATCTATTATTATGTAATTAAAATCTTTATCCGATATCATAATTCATGTATTTTTTACAAAGTACTTTTACATGGAGCAGAGTTGCATCCGAAGACTGTGTATGAAAATGTATGTCAGTGGTCCATAATCTTGACATTAAACTGTCATCATCTGGGTAGCTTCATTGTATTGATTCTTGGTGCTATCCCTACAGATTGTGATTTAAACAGCATGTGACTTGTTCATAAAGGTTTTAAAATACCACAATTCATTTTAATGTGCCTCCAGGGTGGAAATTCTTCTTATTAGACTTTCTTTACTATGTTGACTAGTTTTTCTTGAGCCTTTTACGTCTCTGAGCAGATACTGAGGATTTCAAAGTTGATCAGATCTCACAAGGGGGATTGTAAAACAACTTACTCTAAGGAGCTCTGGTAGCATAGTAGTTATGCATAGGGCTGCTAAACTGAAGGTTGGCTGTTCAAAATTACCAGTGGTTATATGGGAGAAAGATGAGGCATTAAGCTCCCATAAAGATTTGCAACCTCAGAAACCTTGTGCAGGGTTGCTATGATTCAGAACCAACTCCACTGTATTTAACAACAACATGGGCAGCTAGTGCTTTCTCCAATACCCCTGATGATATTTCTTACCTTATCTTTTCCACCTATATCTCTATATCTAACTGAAACATGGCGACCCCATTCCCAGTAGAAGTAATTTTTTCTAGTCCTGTACCATTCAAATAATTAATTGTGGATCAAGCTAGTGTCATCATTAGGATGATCACTGAGCTGGGTGGTTTTTGAAGTAGATTTAACAAGTCTTTCATATGTGTTCATCTTTGTCTGGAGTCTCTGGATAAACCTGTTTATCATTTTAACAACATGCAAGCCTCTACTCACAGATGGTGGTTAGACAAGTACATTGATTGAGATTCAACCTGTCTTCCAAACAAAAGAAGAGTATTTTACCAATGAGCCTCTGCTCTGAACACCATGATATATGCCAATTCCTAAGCAATTGTCTCCCTTCTCCAAAATCACCCTTCTTTGTGATTGTGGGACCAGTGAGGGAATATCTTTAAACCACTTTTCTAATTTCTGATCTGGCTTTGTTGTTACATTTCTGCAATCATCCTTAGGTAATTTGAATACACCCCAGTAAACTTGACATTTTACTTACTGTTTCATAAGTCTTTGGTGTTGTAGCTTCTCTCGCTGAAGTTACTATGTTTTCATTTCCATGTCCCTCTTTGATTTCTGTCACTTCTTGCATAACAATGTTTCCCACTTCTTATATTAAATGTTTACATGGTGTACTCATGTTTCTTTATTGAATCCTGACTGGTAAATTCTTCATTGGCAATAAAGAAATTTGTGAGATGTCTACAATTGTAGTGTTGCAAAGCATGCTCAGAGGAAAAAAAAAAGTGGTGATTGCAAATTTTATGTCTTGGTCAAGGTTATGCAATGAGGACTAAGGTGGTAGTATCATATTCCCTTTGAACTGTAAGGTTGGTGATTCAAACTCACCAGTTTCTCCTCAGAATCTATACAGAGGGTTGCTATGGGTCACAATCAACTTGACGGTACTTCACGAAAACAACAACAATCATTCAATAATTTTCCCAGAGAATCTTTTAATAAATTGAGAGAATTATTCTATTTCATCCTCACTGCTTTAGTGCTCGGTGCATAAATTTGAATAATAGTGGTATTAACTGGTCTTCACTGTAGACACATGGATATTATCCTATCACAGCATTGTACTTCATGACTGTTCGGGATCTCTTCTTTTGTCAATGTATGCAACACCATTTCTCTTCAATTTTAATTCCCTGCATATTAATCCATGTGGTTGTCATTTTCAAAATGGCCAATACCAGTCCATTTCAGCTCACTAATGCCTAAGATATCGATGTTTATGTATTCGATTTCATTTTTGACAACTTCTAATTTTCCCAGATTCATATTTTGTACATTCCGTGTTTTGATTTTAATGGGTATTTACAGCTGTTTATCTTCATTTTGACTGGTGCCCCATCAGCTAATGAAAGTCCCCCAGGTTTTTCTCCCACAAGCTTTATAACATTTGCATTATTACAGTCAACTCTACTTTGAAGAGGCAGCTCTTCTGCAGTTGCATTTTGAGTGCCTTCCAACCTGAAGGGCTCATTTTCCAGCACTCTATCTGAAAGTTGACTCTTATCAACAGAGAAAAGATTGACATTGTCAAGGACTTAATTCTTCTTGGATCAATTATCAACACTCATGGAAGCAGCAGTCAAGAGATCAGACGATGTATTGCAGTAGGCAAATCTGAAAAAAAACAAAACAGACAATTCAAAGGCACTTTTTAGCACTTTATTAAAGGTTTAAACAAAATACATTCTATATTGAAGAGAGCCCTCGGTACTTGAGCAGATACCTGATTCTCCTGGGGATATTTGTTGAATTTGTTCCTGGAATAGTTGTGACTAGTTTAAAAGAATAGCTGTGATTGACCTTTTGCAGATGCCATCCTGCCAAGGGATGGAACAGTGAGAAGCCTTATGCATGAAAAGTTCATTGTTTAGCAAAACGACAATGAAAGTCCCCTTGGTTAGCAAAGCCACAAGAGATGATTCATGCAGGGGGCTCCATGGTTTCTAGCCTTTCCCTTGGAAAAATAGTTTATTTCTGATTTCCTTATAAGAAGTTTTAGAAAATCTTGCATAATCATTAGATACTTTAATAAACCTCACGTTATAATAGTTGCCTTTCACACTAACATTAACTTCCACACCATATTCAATCTTATGTAGTCATAAAAATTAATTTTTACATTAACAATAAGTTTTAACATTAGAAATAACCACACTAGCTAAAGTTTTAGCAATTCAAGCTTAAAATTGTAAGAAA